ACTTGAACTTAGTTCAGCTCCCAGCAAATGGGCTAGCTACATGAGAGTTTTCGTAGTTTTTGTCATGTGCAAAGTGAACAGTTCTCTATAAAAACATATCTTCCCTTAGTAAGATAGCTCTCATGTACTTTGTCGTAATCTAAGCTACCTAATCCAACATAGCAGACATGAGTTTGCAAATTTTAAAAGTTCAGATGTGTTCAGATGTATGTTCGCTGTTGCAACATTAATTATTTGAAAGCCCCATAAGAACTGACGAACATTTTTACTCATATTACTTCAGTTTCTTGTTTAACTCCCATATGGTTTTTAACTTGTAGGATTCCGCTGTATCTAGAAGCTTGTGGGAATGTTCCTGTATCTCCAACTAGACTTTAAGCGAGTTATTGCGTAGTTTGAAATAGGCATAAGGTCCAAAGAAAGGTTACAATAACCTTTTTACATCCTTGTAGGAAGTGAAGGAAGTTGTTGTAATCACGAAAAATTCTGGGTTTCATATTTCAACGATAATAGCCATTTTGACGGCTATCGAATGCAATTTAACTTTGCTTTTGTGTGACATCTGTACGTAAGGACAGAATAAAGGGACTCTTTTTCCCTAAACGAATTATGACACTGATTTAAAATGGATTCAGAAGAGATTTTTTTTTGAGGCGTCTGTACGTACGAGTAGCTTCAGAACGTTGGAATTTTGTATATAGACTGATATAACACGTAGTTGTGCACCTTGCATTTTGGTTGCAATTGGCTACAGCAAAAGTATATAAATATATATACGCCCTCTTTTACTTGGCTCTGTAAGCTCAGTTTCTTTATTTTTATATGTCGGTAAATTGTGAATTTTTTGCTTTAAAAATGATTGAATTATGTTGTTCTTATCTTCCGGTTAAGGTTTCTATGCCTTTAGTTAATCTGCATACAATAATTGTAGAATATTATCAACAATTTAAAAGTATTTTTAAGTGCGGCTAAGCAGCCATATTTTTTTACATTTGAAACTTAGAATAGTGAATTAAATCTTTCTGCACCTTCAGTGTTTTTTTGCCGAGTGGGACCAAAACGAAACTTTTAGTTCTGTGCACCGAAATTTCTGCCTTCTTGCCTGCTGGTCGAATTGCTTGATTTTGCGTAGAAACTGTAATTTTAATTGCAATTTTTTAAAAAAATTATTTTATTATTTTATGTGTGTCTATAGCCTTCAATTTTTAATGAAGATATTTATGGATTTTTGTGTTGCTGTGAAGTGAGAACTGAATTAATTGAATGAGAAATGTATCTCTAATGAAATTCAAGGAAATAAGTTTACATGAAATGGGGAAAAAATTGCGTATAATTTAATAATCCTTACAAGGAAGTCATGTGGTGTGCACATGAGATTTTGTTTTGTTTAAGTCTTAAATGAACAGAAAGCATCACATGCGCGATATTCTGCTGCTTGCAAATATTTAACTTAACATAAATGAAAATTAAATTCAGATGTAGATAACGTAGTATGAGAATAAAATACAGAATAATCTCACACAGTTAAGTCTTCTTAGATGTTTAACTAAGGTTCTCAGACGTATTTTAAATGTTGGTTAGAAAGATACAAAAGCCGAAGTAGTTTATGTTGAGCTCGGTATAGTTAAGTAGCCGCAAGATTACTGCTGCCAAAAGTTTTAAATCTAAACATTCGGAACTCTCAGCTTAAATACGCGAAACAACTAGGTTGCAGTCTGGTGAGGAATGCGAAAAGAAAAAGTTTATAGTAGAGGCCTTAATCACAATAATTGATTAATTCATAGAAAATAACTTATAAATTGAAAGATCAAGAAGCAAAGTTAGAATTTCAAAATCTGGGTATGGATTGACATTACACTGACGTTATAGCAGCAGATAATTCGAGAATAAAAGTACTCATGAAACACAAACACTAAGATTTAACGGACTGTAGCTTTATTCCTGTTTGGATGGACACTCTTGCCATCGCATACGTGCACCTCCCCGCACGCAATCAAGCACAATAATGGCCGCTACCTAACCACGTTGTCGTTTTCTTTCATCGTGGTTGCCAGATCACTTCTGCCTTAACATACCGCCAGGGTTGGGCATTTGTTACATAGTTAACAATGACCAAAATTAAACAGTTTTAACTCACCATATAGTCCAAATCATATATCACAAAATTTAAATTGATACACATGAACAAAAGCAATAAACATAATTAACCACAGAACATGAAATGCACAACATCTAAATTAAAATGCAAAGCATATATAATAATTTTTTGAACTCAGGAAATATACATGAAATTATGTAACATCTACTGGTAGTGCAGCTAATTTAGTTATTAGGTCTTTTTAAAAGAACCCTGACTTGGTTTTTCACAATACAAACTCTAACCTTTTTTATCCTTACCATAAATTACCTCTTCTATTTTACCCAAGTAACCAAGTCGAAATGGGCATGTTGTCTTCCTTTACTAAAACTATAGTGCCCTTTTAAACGTTATCCTTAGAGAAATACCACTTAAATCGTTGCTGTAAATGACTGATGTAATCATTTTGCCACCTTTTCCACAAATATTGCGTTACTTTAGCAGTGCGCTGCCAGCGCTTTAAAGAACTATCAGAAAAATCTGTTAAATCAGGCTCTGTTATTGATGTTAAAGGTCGCCCGACTAGAAAGTGTGCGGGTGTAAGAGCTTCTAAATCATTGGTGTCACTTGACGAAGGGAATATTGGACGTGAATTTAAAATTTCTTCAATCTGGTTCAAAATTGTAAGAAACTCCTCAAATGTAAAATCAATCTCCCAACTGCACGCTTAAGATAAAACTTAAACGACTTTACACCTGCCTCCCAGATACTTCCAAAGTGAGGAGCCCTGGGAGGGATAAACTTCCGATGAATTCTTTCAGATGTCAGATATTTGGTTAAGAATTCATCAGGGTATTTCAACAAATTGTAGAACGCTTCAGTTCATTGCTAGCCCCAACAAAATTTCGAGCGTTATCGCTAAATAAGGACGCTCATTTACCCCTTCTAGAAATAAATCGCTTCAAAGCTGCAATAAATGGTTCTGTAGACAAATTTGAAACAATCTCGAGGTGGACTGCACGAGTCAAGAGGCAAACAAAAATTGAAACATAAATCTTGTGCACTACGCTCTTCTTCTGAGTTGTATACTTTATACCGAAAGGACCACAAAAGTCAACATCAGTATGGTTAAAGGGAAAGGATGGATTTAGTCTCTCTGATGGTAAATTTCCCATCTTTTGATCCAGCAATACTGGTTTTACCTTGGCACATGTAACACATGTGCCAAGTTCTCTTATTATCTTTCTAGCAAGTTTTAGTTCTCTTACTATCTTTCTAGCAAGATTACGTCCACTTATCGGCCAAAAGTTTTGTCTAAAACTATGCAAGAGCGCTTGTGCTCCAGTATGGAAGTTTCGAATATAGTAGTGTAACATAATTAAATGAGTCAGTTTATGATTTTTTGGCAGGACAGCAGGGTGCTTTGTGTTAAAGGGCAAGTTAGCTTCCTGCAGTCTACCACCTACTCTAATAACTTGAGATTCATCTAAAAAGTGACATAAAAATTTTAACTGACTATTTTTACATACTTCCCTTTTCTTACTTAAGTTCTTGAATTCTTCAGGAAAACTTTGATATTGGACTAAGGAAAGTAATTTATTTTCGCTTAACGAAACCTCATCTACTGTGAGATGACCTAATTGTTTTTCCTTGGATCTAAATTTCTTATAAATCTTAAAACATAAGCAAAAACATTAATTGATTTAGCATAACAATTAGTAATACTAAAAACATAATCCAAAAGAGAATTTTAACAGTTACTGTCAAATTTACATTAGAAATAAGTTTCAGTTCGCGCACATAGTTCTCATTTGAATTTTCAAAGTTATTATTAACACTATTATAATTGATGACCTCTTGATGCAGAAAATTTGGTCCTTGAAACCACAAAGAGTTATCAGCAATAATTTCCGGGCTCAGACCGCGAGAAATTAGGTCAGCGGGAATGTTTGCGGTTCTGACATGTTGCCAGCAGAAATCCTTAGTTAGCTCTTAGATACGAGCTACTCTATTTGACACAAACACTTTTAGAAGATGAGGAGATGTAGCAATCCAGGCTAACACAATTGTTGAATCTGTGTACAGAATAACTTTGTCAAAATATAAACTCAAAGATGTTATTACCTTACACAGAAGTTTCGAAAGGTGCTCTGCTGCACACAACTCCAGGACGAGGAATGGTTATTAACTTGATAGGACGATACTCGAGATTTGCTGCAGAGCAAAGTCACTTTAACTTCGTCAGTTTCAAGGACACAGCGCAAGTAAATAACTCCACCATATCCAAACTTTGAAGCATCAACAAAACAGTGGAGCTCAGTTTCTTTAATTAATTCTATTATAGTGTAAGGAGGGACTTTGATTTGTGTCAACTCTGGTAAGGCCTTTTGAAATGTCTCCCACACTTGTCGCTCTTTGAACGAAAGTGGATCATTCTAGTCTAAATGTAAAAGCCTCAGATTTTGCAGGAACATCTTAGAAAGCATGATTACAAGCTCTAGGAAACCTGAAGGATCAAATATTTTATCAGTATCTGCCAAGACCAAACGTTTAGTGCAGATGTTAGCCGAACTAGACAGAGTAAAATTAAAAGAGTCTTCTTCTGGATTCCCTCTTAAACCTGGAGCCTTTATGGGGCTTTGTGAAGATTCTCTTGGTTTACTAATGGAACTTGTTCTAAAAGAATTTTGTCGTTTGAGCACCACTCGTGCAATTCCATTTTCGCAGATTGTAGCATGGCTGTTAACTGCCGTTTCAATTCTATAGAGAGGAGACATCTTCTGCACCAGACAAAAATGTCAACATAAAAATCGTTGAGTGTCCGTTTTAGAAGCCAATTGGATACTTATCCTTTTTCATCTAATGGCTAATTGTCTTCAAACACTCTTGTTGCTAAAAAAAGGCGCTGATTTTGTTGCGTATGTTACGCCAAGTAATTGAGTTTAGATGCATCATTCAATGTATTTCCCAGAGGATGCACTGATGTTTGCGTTGTCAGGATCTGTACGAATCTGCCGATATATTTTACATATATCAGCAGTAAAAGCACCTTGTGTTTTCTAAATCGTAGCAGGATAGAGAACATGTCATCTTGCACCACACCTCCGTTCATCAAACGGTCGTTTAATGAAACACCAGATGAAGGAGCCGATGCGTCGAATACCACTTGTAACTTAATTGTACTGCTCTCTGCTTTATAAACACCATAATGAGGCATTATGCACTTAAGAGTTTCCGACACACTCTGAAGTTTTTGCATATGCCCTAACGGTTCATATTCACTCATGAATTCACAGTACATCCTAGACATGTCAGGGGTTTTGTCTAGTCTCTTCCACAAATTATTTAACCGTTGTGTGGCCAGTAGCGAAGAGTCACCCAAATGAACATCTTGTCTTAATGGTAGAGTCACTACATATCTACTCTCGATATCCCGCTGATGTGTTTTCACAAAATGATTTTCACATTCTACTTCTTCTTTATTTTTTATTTTGAGACATTCTGTCACAGCTTCAGTTTCCCCAGAAGACTTGATTAGTGAATTTAAGTCTTCTTCGAATTTCATAAATACGCACTAAATCTTATTGTCTGAATTTGAACCAAAATTTACACCCTTAGCAATGTATCCAAATACAGAATTTTGAAAAGTTAAAATTTGAATTTCGTGGCTGAATTTGATCAGCCTTCAAAAGTTCATAAAAGCATTCTGCACCTAACAAGGCATCTATTTTCTGCGGTTTATTAAAATGAGGATCCGCTAGCTTAATGTTTTGAGGAAGCCGTGAAAATGAAAAACTGAAATAATTCACTGGTACTAAATCATTAATTTTAGGTACAACAAAGTATTCAAGCGCGAGAATCACGCTTTTTTGATATCACAATAAGCTTGGATTTTACCGATAAAGCCATCCCATTTAAACATGAAATTGATATGTTAATTTTATTCCTTTTATTAAAAGATTATTAGCGAAATCATAGGTGAAGGAAGAACACTGACTTCCTCTATCAAGGAGAATTCGGCATGCGATAAAATTCCCGCAAGAATCTTTAACATGAATAATAGCAGTAGATAGTAATACCTCCTTCGAAATCACTTGTGAAGCAGTTACAGACCAACGAAACAATAAATTCCGAATTGTTTATTTGGTTGCAGATTAGATAATATTTCAAAACATCTTGGTGTCAGCATTCAGCTCTGAGTTGTCTACTGAAGGGGGAGTCAGAATTATTAGCCGGTGCTTCCTCCTTCCCCACACAACTCGCTATAGTAGCAGGTGAATGCGAAATGTCTTGATTAGGAAAATGCAGTAAACTATGGTGTTTTTTCATGCATTTTGAACAGCTGAGTCGGATTGAGAATTGCAGAATGAGTCGGATTAAAACCCAAGCAATTAAAGCATAATTTATGTTTCTTAACAAATTCAAGACATTCACTTACAGTCATTTTCAAGAAAGAATTACATTTATACAGCTTGTGAAAATTGTTACGTTTACAACAAATACATTTAAAATCTTGACCTTTAACATTTGACACCAAGGCAGTCACCTTTTGAATAGGTTGACCCTTTTTCGCACTAAGCACATTAGATGACTTTGACGACTGCAAAGTCTAGCATGATTTTTTAGAAATGTAATAAGCTCAGATAATTTAGGTAACTCACTTTTTTTGAATCTCTTCCCACCAAAGACGAGTGGAAACATCCAATTTTTGCAGCAAAATATATGCAAGAAATGTTTCTGCGAATCTGTCTATTTTTTGGTCTAATATTTCCAGAGACCTTACACTTTCATTCACTGTGTCTAACCTTACACTTTCATTCACTGTGTCTAACCTTACACTTTCATTCACTGTGTCTACTAATTTCAAAATAGAAGACGGGCTTTCATTTTGTATGGGAGAAATTGACATGAAACGCTTTATCTGAGCGAAGGAGTATCTCTCTTCTAAAAAATCCCAAGCAATTTTATAGTTATTATCACAAATTGTGACTGATTGAATAATCCTCGCTGGTTCGCCATGAAGTGATAACTTCAAATACGAGAGCTTTTGCGAATCCGATAATACTTTATTATTATGAATGCTTGAAATGAAAATATCCCGAAAGCTTAACCAATCTTGAATATTTTCAAGATTTTATATCAAGAAGATCCCAAGAAGATCATTTATTTCAAGAAGATCCCAAGCAATTTTATAGTTATTGTCACAAAGTGTGACTGATTGAATAATCCTAGCTGGCTTCGCCATGAGGCGATAACTCCAAATACGAGAGCTTTTGGGAATCCGATAATACTTTATATTATGAATATTGAAATGAAAATATCCCGAAAGCTTAACCAATCTTGAATATTTCCAATAAAAGATAGCAAGTTTAATTTAGGTAATTTCTTACCTTGTGCGCTGGTATTTTCAATCTTTACATTACTTGCATCTTTAGCATTAAATTTTGACATTTGCCGTTTAACCTTAACCCACAAAGTATCAATGCTCTCTTGAACAGATTGCTGTTCAGCTACATATTTGCCAAACTCTTTTTCATCAACTACTTCAAATAATTTATTAAAAATCTCTGAACACTCATTATTAAATTTTGCACATTTATTTTCAAAAAGTTGTAACTGAAATTCATAACAAGTATATTTTTCGAAATCTGAAGTTGCTTTTGTTACACTTTAAAATTCTTTTCTTAATTAAAAATGCTTCCATAATTAACATTAATAGTACCGAACATATATGAGCAAATTCACTTACCTCCGTTTGAGGTAATCCAAATGAACCCGAAATTTCTAAGTCCAGTCACACACTAGTTTTTAATTATCTTGTCGAATGCGAAGTAACATATCACACTTTTTTATCAATTTAACACTTCACCTTTAAGCTTTTTAACTAGCACTTTATCCACAGGCACTAATCTTCCTACCGGGTTGCACGGACTACAATGTGTTCGAGAATAAAAGTACTCATGAAACACAAACACTAGATTAATGGACGTATCTTTATTCCTTTGGATGGACACTCTTGCTATCGCATACGTGCACCTCCCCGCACGCAATCAAGCACAATAATGGCCGCTAGCTAACCACGTTGTCGTTTTCTCTCATCGTGGTTGCCAGATCACTTCTGCCTTAACAGTTTGCAACTTACATTAAGTCATTATTTTATTTATCCCTTTATATACCGGGTGATCAAAAAGTCAGTATAAATTTGAAAACTTAATAAATCACGGAATAATGTAGATAGAGAGGTAAAAATTGACACACATACTTAGAATGACATGGGGTTTTATTAGAACCAAAAAAAGTTCACAAAATTACTGTTATCGGGCCTTTTTTTCTTCGAGGAAATGCGGATTCTGTTTTGTAACTGCTACCGTGACGGGTGAGAGGTACGCCGATATACAGAATCGCATCGTCCCCAGCCTGGCTGATAAACACCTACTGGAAAGTACGATTTTTATGCAGGATGGCGCTCCAGCCCATATTGCTAGACGCGTGAAAGATCTCTTGCGCGCCTCGTTTGGTGATGATCGTGTGCTCAGCCGCCACTTTCGTCATGCTTGGCCTCCCAGGTCCCCAGACCTCAGTCCGTGCGATTATTGGCTTTGGGGTTACCTGAAGTCGCAAGTGCATCGTGATCGACCGACATCTCTAGGGATTCTGAAAGACAACATCCGACGCCAATGCCTCACCATAACTCCGGACATGCTTTACAGTGCTGTTCACAACATTATTCCTCGACTACAGCTATTGTTGAGGAATGATGGTGAACATATTGAGCATTTCCTGTAAAGAACATCATCTTTGCTTTGTCTTAGATTGTTATGCTAATTATTGCTTTTCTGATTAGATTATTGCTTTTCTAATAAAACCCCATGTCATTCTAAGTATGTGTGTCAATTTTTACCTCTCTATCTATACATTATTCCGTAATTTATTAAGTTTTCAAATTTATACTGACTTTTTGATCACCCGGTACATTTTTGTATTAGGTTTTCCTTAATAATATAAAAAGTTGAGAAAAAAGGAAAATGAATTCTTGAGGTCACCTTGTGTTGAGTTACATTAAAAATAAAAAATATATAATGTCATTTTCTTTGCTTTTGTTAATTTAATATTTTTTTCAGCAAAGCTTGCATTACATTTTGCTTTAGTTTATTTACATTATCAGTGTCTAATTTCAAATGTTTTCATGCAGTTAATCGTTTTATAGTTGACCCGTTCTTATAGCAAATCATATCTAGTACTTCAGTGCACTATGATTAAAGTTTTAATGTTCATATTATGTATTAAGACGGCAGAAATTTAAAAAACAAATCTTACCATTTAAATGCATATTCCTACAGAAATAAAAGAATGTATTCAATTTTCACTTTAACATGACTTTTTATACAAGTACTTTGAAAATATTACCGTATTTACTTGCGTATTGTTCCATCTAGTATCCACCCTAGCTTGATAGTTACCAGTAGTCCATTCATAATACATTTCATTTGTTACGCACAATAAGAAAAGAACAAAAGAACAAATTAAAAGTATTTATAAATTAACTATTGATAATTATCAAACTAAAGGGGAGATACGCGAGTAACTATCGCATTTTAGGTTTTTCAAAATACTCTTTACCAAAAAATCTTGAATCTTAATCATTTGTAATATTATTTCTTATTTTAATTCGCGATTACAATACTTCCTTGTTACTTCGTACAAGGAAGTAAAAACGTATATAAGTCTACCTTTTAATCATTTTTAGCGTGCTTTGTTTTTCATAAAAAAAGTACGAATGCGTTTCTATAAAAGAATTAATTAAACAATGACTGTTAGCAGTTCACTAAAAATACTTAAAATTAGTTGATTTCCTGTTCATTTATATGTTCTTTTTCAAGATTTCTTTCTGAATTTTCCATTAAAATTATTAATCAGTTCAAGAAGTCTAAAGTAATGTGAGTAAAAATATACCTCATCTCTTCCACCACCCACAAATCATTACATATTGCAATACATAATCATTACATATTGCATGCATTTGATAGTTTTAAAAACTTGAAAAGTCATGCGAAGTTTGTAGAGGTTTTAATTTTAACACGATATTCTGCATGAACGTTTACCACTCCCGGTATACTAATTCCTATCACGATGTTTTCTCATTGCTTTATTTTCAACCGTGCAGTACAACGAGATTTTCCATCGCAATGTTTTTTATTGTGAAGGTGTTGTCCGATATATTTTTGCAAGATATATGCTGAACAGCATAGCTTTAGTAATTTTAAAGGTGATAGAATTAGTATATTACATTATGCCTCAACGAATCTTGTTGAAAGTGGACTTTATCCGCCAACTTTCCGAACCCATAGTAATGTGAATGCGCATGCCTTATAATTCTCTGCCCTTGAAAATTTAAGTTTACATTGTATAAATTGTGTCAAAGTGTCTGCGTTGTGTACCTAAATTCCAAAATATTTAAATTTCCGTGAAATATCTTCAGTGATAAAACTGTGAGATTTACTTATTTCTTCTACTTAAAAGTTTTAGTATCTTGAGATTTAATGGATATCTTGAATCGATTTTTTT